AAAATGTTTTAACGAAATTGAATTCCCACGAACAAAACAAAATCAAAACAAACCTATTACGAACCTTTTCATTCCATTTATTCCAGGACTTTCAGATCAAATTAAACGAGTAGGTAAAAAATTTAATATTAGGACGATCTTCAAAACTAAAAATGCAACTAGAAGCGAAATTTCAGTAACAAAACCTCATGATATAATTGAAAATACAAAAAATTTAATTTATAAAATTCCTTGCGAATGCCCTAAATGTTACATAAGAGAAACCTCAAGACCATTACACAAAAGACTCAAAGAACATCAATCATACATAAAAAACAGAGAATATCATAAATCACACACTTGTCAACATGCATTTGATAATTGCCATAAAATGCAATGGAATAATTCCACAATTTTAACAAAAGAACAATCCACAAAAAAACGTAAAATTAAAGAAAGCGCACTAATTTTACTAAATCAAAATAATTGTGTTGCTTCATGTTCATTTAATTTAAGTCACACATGGTTACTAAAATCTGAAGTAGACCAGAGAAACATACACCCAAATTAAATTTATACCAAAATTATTAATTAACATTATTTTTATTAATTTAAACAATGAGATTAAGTGAAAGTCACATAACTGACAATTTGCACAGACGAATTATCAGAGCGAATTTTCATATACTGTATTATCCTACTATTGTTACCCAATTTATTAACATACTCTTTTTTAGGTTCATTTAGGTTCTCTTGACAACGATAGCAGAAAATAGCTATCGAAACGTCAAGGTAATTTTTCAAATTAATTTCTTTACTAATTGGAATTTTCTCTTACACCTTGAGCCTAAGTGTGTCGCAGGATACCCTTTTGATATACTTTTTGATAAATAATTCGTTCTTATTGCGAAATAGGAGCACTATTTATCAATCTGTAACAAAAAGACGTGAGGAAATTCTGTCTTTTTTAAAAGCAAAAATTTTTGAGGCGAAATACCCAAAAAGAAGTTTATAAAAAAAGTTTGTTTAGTTGCTGCGATGATATAATTCAGCATTTTTAGGCTGTAGGAATTTAGTTTTCTGATATTCTGTAATAAGTCTGAAAATTTTTAAAAGTAACATGTTCCTTTTGGAACTGCATTTGGTAACCTATTACCGAGGTGAAACTGGAACGTTGCAACCTTATAACTGTTACAGAAAAATAACCGCTTATCACACCTCTAATAGAAACTTTGCTGAATTCAGGAAAATAATTAACTAAAACTCTCTGTTCGAGTCATACTTTCTTTTTTGCTTTTTACATGATTTTTGGACGCTCTTATATAAAATTGAAAAAATTAAATAACGTCGACTTGTCCTTTATGACTACTATGAAAAACTCGCGCATTTTCGATCAGTTTTATATCGTGAATACCCCAATGAGCGTCGTGGAAACCAGTTTCTTCCTGCCGCATAATGTTTTCAAGCAGATTAACAATAGAACTTGTACCTTTTTTAGGTTGCAATGAAACATGATTCCTTCCAAACGTTTCGCAAGCACAAGCGGCTTGCATCCTCAGAAAGCCTACACTGGACGGAGTTCTCCTATGCAACTTACCGTTGTTCGTTGTACGGTTTCACAATGAGAAAACTCTGCGGGCTGCGACCCTGCACTTGAAAGTTGTTCCGTGAAACTCGGCCGTTGCTGAAGTTTTCCTCGGATATTTCGACTTGATTCCATCGCCACACGATTGTAGCATTCGGAATGGCTTCGGGCAAACAAGACAAATTTCCCGGCCTGCCATCCCAACTCCAAACCGGCGGCAAATCTCTCGTTCGATTAAATGTGGGCTTAAACCACACAGTAATGTGCCCGTTTCGATATGCGGCTCCCGGCTTGTTTTCGGCTATACACTGATAGAGACCATCGTCGCTCCGACTCAGATTTTTGATGTGAAGAGTTCCAGAGGCTTCGCCTGCAAGAAAAATTCGATATTTTCACTTTTAAGCCAAGGCCCTCAATTAAAACTCACCTCTATCGATAGCAGATTCTTGGGTCAAAGTGATCCGTTCATCCTCTGGCTGCTGGCCAACCGAAAACGGATCTCGATTGCTGAGCTTGCGAAAAGTAACGCGCGGAGGCGGCCGCCCTTTGGTTTTGCATGTAATTCGCGTTTCGTTTGTTACGGGCTCAGTGACGTTCAGTAATTCGTAAATTTGCGGTTTCACTAAAACGTTAATCCGAACTTCGGTCTCCACTCGGCCTGCACTGTTCTCTGCCACACACTTGTACATCCCATCATCGCCGAATTCCACCCGGTTCATAATTAGTTCGCCTGCAACAATAATTCCTTGAATAACTGCATTTTGGGAAATCTTGTGGTTTGCAGCGGTCGTTTTACATGGCTGCAAACCGCCAGCTTTTCAATTTGTTTAACGGAAATCTACCAGAAACTTTGAATTCAGACCCCCACAAGCTGCATTAGTCTACGTGCTTCTTGCACAAAATCCGGCGTTAAAGTCGTCAAAACTGCCCCCGAACTAGGGATGGTCGGCATTTAACGTAACCGCTAAAATAACAGGGTTCCAAACGTGTAACCTGGAACCGTAGTTACAGCTAGCCGATTTAACCGGTTTTTTTGGAACCGTCTCATAAAACTAGAATTGTAGATAAGTTCTATATTGTTGGGTATTTCGCCTCAAAATTTTTTTTGTCTTTAAAAACAGAATTTCCTCACGTGTTTTATTACAGGTTGATAAATAGTGCTCCTATTTCGCAATAAGAACGAATTATTTATCAAAAAGTAATCAAGAACTATCACCTAGAGGGTATCCTG